CGGATGTGGGGCGCGGGAGCTAGGGGGCGGTGGCAGTGGTGGTGGGGTGCGAGTGGTGCGCGCTTCGGGCGATTGAGGCGGGTGGGGGCACCTGCTTGGCCGCAGGCGGCGCGGCGAAGATATTTGCGCGGCGCAAAAGATCTGTGAGCGCGCGCCCATTGGGCGGGGCGCGCGTCAAAAAATCGCGCGTCGTGGCGGGGGCGCGCGTCAAAAAATCGCGCGTCGTGGCGGGGCCCGCCAAGCGGCATCTCCCGCGCCCGCGCCGCTGTAAGCCCCGCACGCGATATGCCCGTTCGCGCGCCCGCGCGCGCGCAGCCAGATATTTTCCACGAGCACCGCCCCGGCCCCGGCCACGCCGCCCTTTCTCCACCAAATATCCCGTATCTCGCACGCGCGCCACACGACGCCCCGTCAAACACGCGCCTCCCACACGCGGCGCGCGCCTGCGCCGCTGTAGATTCGCGCAACACGCAATCCGCCGCCCCGCACCCCGCCGCCGCACGGGCGCAAAGCAGCGGCGAGCACGCCGACGAGGGCGGACGCACGCCGACGAGGGCGGGCACGCCGACGAGGGCGGGCACGCGCAAGTAGCAAGGGCGCCCGCTGCCAGACCGCGTAGCGTCTCCCACTGTGCTCCCTCCTCTCGGAAGGCGGACCGCGCACACGCAGACAGGCTGTCTCTAGCCCGTGTGGGCGGCGCGGAGGCGGCCGACTCGCGCGGCGCACGGCGCGGGGCCCGGAGAAACGTGCCGTGACGCGGCGGCCAGCGGCGTCTCCCGAGGATTGCTGTACCGCGACGAAGCCCAGCAGGCGATTTGGGGTTTATTTTTTCCAACTTTCAGTGCCCGGCAGGCGGCCGAACGTCAAGCGCGTGTACACGTGGCGGCGGCGGTCCTGCGCGGCGGATAGCGCGAGGGGCGGCGCGCGCGCGTGGAGGGGACAACAAGGGAGCGCGCCGCCAGCCAGCGCACAGCAGGGGAGGAGGAGGGGGGGGGGGGGGGGGGTTTGTTGCCCTTAAAAAGTCTTTCAAAAGACTGGGGTATTTCGGTCGGG